ATATATATATATATATATAACGATTTTAAACGTTCCTATCAAGTCTCATTGCCTTTAATAATATTAAATTTTTTCTCATGTGAATTTTACCCTCACTACCCGTCATTGCTTAAATCATTTGTCATTTTCTCCTCATTTTTTTTTATTTCACTTATCTTTATCGTTCGCGATAATAACGATTAAGTTATTAATAAATGATGATATCTCAACACCTAAGTATAATGTTATCATTGATTTTATTCACACAAAAAATTAAAAAAATGTATTATTTTGTAATATTTTAAAAAAATTACAATTATTATTCAAAGTTAATGAAATTCAAAAATTTAATAACCTTTTACATGTTTATTTTTTAATTATTTAGTAACAAATGCTAAATTCGTTAAGGATTTTGAAAAATACTATATATCTGTTTTATTTAATTGCATAAAATTAAAAGCTATTAATACAATAATAAGTCAATAAAACATATTCATATAATATTATTTATACAAACTGAAAGTGGGCTTGGTTGTACATTAAAGAATATTGATGTGTATTCTATTGAGGCAAATTATATTAGCTTTTGCTTCAATTTTAATAACTGAACATGAACATTTATCAATATGAGTATGAGTGTCTAGAAGCACAACTAGTCACACTAACTATGTATCTGACTTTATGTTATTTCATGAAATCACATCAAATTCAACTAGAAGGATGTAGAAGTTACACTATCGGTATATTTGATTTTCTTCTTCACGTGCCAAACTGATAGATAATATATCTGGGGGTTCAGAATATATATATATGGGATGAGTTAAAATTTGTTTATTTAAAAATAAACAAATTTTAACATACATGGTCTGATATTCAATATCATTTAATCCCATCACATTAATATATGTGAAAATTTTATAATCTATATAAATTTTTGAAGAAAAAATTGAGGGTACACCGTACACGTATCGTAAAGTTTGTCTATATACCCCATACTGTCATATCATTCTGCATGGTGTACACGTCTTTGAGACTGACTTTTGGTGCATGTGTGCTAGGTTTCAAATCCCAATTTTTTTGGTTATAATACTTGCCGACACAATACACCGATGCTAATCAATTAAGCTTACTTATACCTTAAATCCGGAGGAAAACACAAAGGGACATGTGAAATAGCTACACTACACATTACTATTACTAAAGAGGAAGGAAATATGGAAGAAGTGCATGGAGAAAGAGTATCAGCATGGAAATCATACAGTTCATGCCATTTCATAGAACAAATTGTGAAAGCTTTCTCTAACTGCTTCGGTCTTGAGAAAGATGGAGGAGTGACAACCACAACATCACGAGCAATGAGGAGGCCACCAAGACCACCGCTAAGCGCAGGACGTGGTGGCCAAATCAACCTTTTTGCCTCTTAGAAATTAAGATATTACGTCTACACCTACTCGGCTCTTTACTCACTTTCCTTAGTTTTTTACTTCTTCTATATCTGCTCGCTTTTTGATTTTGTATATTGTCCTTGTAAAACCGCTTAATAATTAAGGTGATGAGGTCATTTCCTAACACCATTTTGGTAATGAGTTTGAGTCTTAACTAACATCAGTTTAACACAAACTTTTCTTTCCCAATTCTGTCTTCTCTAATAAGGCTTCAATCATGAATTCTAACATTAACCGTTTACAATTCCGGGTTAAATACACTTTAAACATATACCCAGATGTGCTAGAATCATCAAGAAAATGAAATTGATCCGGTGCTGTCTTCCACGGCTACCCTAGTTTGGTTCTGGTAAGTTCATTGTTTATTGTCCAAGGACTCGAAACAAGGAATAGAAATCAGCACGATGCGCAATGATTCGGTTATTCGGTGATGGCATTCGCCCCCGTATTTGTCACCACGGGGCTGCTACGTAGCACATCGATACTTGTTTATATGGTAACCGAAACCGACAATGTCTTTTTCATCTCGTGTACCATTCTTTATATTTTCATCGCCAGTTGAAGCAAATTAAAAGTATAAAATTCTAAAGAAAATTCTTTTATTTTTACGTTTGAAAGTAAAGAAATTAAATATTTTGACTAATTTAAAGTTGTTGGGTCCGATTTTTTTTCTTTCCTGAAGTAAGTTGAAATAAGTTTTGTTTTTCTAAACTAACCCATCTTTGCACTAATAATCTGTTATGCCAGTGTTTGGATTAGTGAATGATTTTTATAAGCAATAAATCGTTAATTTTTTTTAGTGAATTCACCATAATTTTGAGTTTATCATAATTTTCTACCATAGAACCAAACATACAAGTGTATTTAATCAATTGTATGAACATCATAATCGATTATATATATTGATAAATATAATTGATTATGAACACGTTAAAATCAATGACAACTTGACTAGTGTTTTTTGTTTCAATTAAATGAATTGTGTTATATATGTTCCATGTGCAAGAGTAATATACTAGAATTTTTATATTAAACCTAATTTTTTTCCTCTCCTTCCTACTAACTACTTCATAATATTTTTTTTCTTCAATTCTTCTAATTCTTTAAAACCAAACAATCTAAAATTTCATCCTATTTTTTATTTATTTATATTTTTCTATATGATATTTGTATTCACTCAATTTCATTTCTTGCTGTGAAGGAGTATAAAAACCTCAGCAGCACCAATGGCTTTGCTTCGTCCAATACAACTAATCTAGGACTCTAGAGTTTACTAGTGTGTTTGGGCACATCCTAGAATCAATTTTAATCCCTAGAATCATGGTAAAAAATTGAAAACGTTATTTGTTGCTTTGGCCTTCACTATGGTTTTGTAATTGATTTCGATAGAATTTAAAATCAACCCAAACACACTACATTGCCAAGCACAACACCAACTGTAATAATTGTTTGTAGAGAATCTAGATAGTTAGTTAAAAAGCAATTAACGGAAATACATCACTCATCTATCTTACTTGACTATAATTTGGGGCATTTCATCATCTTGAGCTTAGACACACAATTTCACTGAGTGATCAACGACAAGCCGAAAGCACAACCTATAAAGGTCCAGATTAAATAATTGACGTAGAGGAAGAATAAAAAGGTTTACTCAACAATAATTCGTAAAATAATTGTTCCAACTTAAATTTTTTAAGAAATTATTATAAGCATAGGAATTGGGAACAACAAATATTATTTATTTTAGAACCCATACACTCTAATCTGTCGTTCGTTTATTTTAGGTTGGTATCAATTATATCTTTTATTTTTACTGGGATCGCTAAGGTTATTCAACATATAAAAGCAAGGATGAAGCATCAATGTTAGAATTTGGTTACCAAATTGTTGGTCATATTACACCCCGTTGAGTAATCTACAGGGAAACGACACTTTGCAGTATTTAATGACGAATGACGAGAAAACAGCAAAACTGCACAACTAAACCATCCAATTCCGATCCATGAAGGAACAAGTAGAAGATCAATACACAAGTAGAGAAGAGAGGTGGTGGGGCGGCGAAATAGTGGCTCGTTTTGTATAACAAATCCAACAACTAAAACCTAAATTCTAAGAGATGCTAGCTTGATAATTTTCTACGACCAGTGATAAAGTTGAGAGCAAACCTCGAAAATCGGGTGAGTGTGAAAAACATTTGCAAAATAGCACGACCCTTGAGAATACCCTCTCTTACCCCCCTCGCGGTTCTGGCTATCACAGGCCCATCATCCTCAGCTTTCAGATTGATCTTCCCCTGCAACGAAGCTATAACAAAGTGAAGAACATGAAGTAAAATTGCTGTGTTTTTCCCCCACCTAAAAACTCAAATCACATGAACCAAACTTGAACAGCCATATTTGGTAAGTAACCTGAAGAAGAAGAAGAAGGCACAGTAGTCAAGCGGCGAAGCCTCTCCTCTGCCAACCGAACTGCACGAGTGGAACTTCTAACACCTTGCGTAATCTCTTGGCTACACCACACAAGTGAAAGTGAAACCAACATTATAGAAATAACACAAAACAAGAGCAAAACCAAAATTGAAAGTAAAAGAAATATACAAAGGCACTTCCCTATCGCTTTCCTTACGAGAAAATTGTAAGTTTTAATTCATAGGCAAGCATAAGCCTTAAGTTTTGATCCTGCCATTAACACCATTTATGATGTGGCTAATGTTGCTATAAAAATTTCTGACACCCAAAAACCATAAAAAAAAGGTTTTTCATGTCCTCATTTTCTACTAGTTCAACAACAACAGTCATAAAATTCGTAAAATTTTAGGAGATAATATATGTACAACAATTTAATACTATATATATTAGTTTTATGTTTATCTCTCTATCACATTATTTACTATATTTATCAAGAATGATAAAAGATAAACACAAAAAATGATGTTATGAAAATTGTTGTATGAATCATTGTGCTTATTACTCTAAAAATATGCTTAACCAACAGAAATTATGTCAACCTAAATTAGTCTTTAATTGTCTGTTTTGAGACACGTTAACATGGACCAAAATCATTACTGAGAAAGTTTTTATTTAGTTACATTAAAAAGTTTTTGTAACAATGATAACATTCTTATGCATAAGAACTAAAACTAACAACTATGTTGATCTAAAACCTAAAATTTGGGACGAAGTTAATAGTTTAAGAGTTTAATAGATTTATTGTGTGAACCAATTAAAAATCAACTTTAGTGTGTAACTTTTAAGTGGTTATTATCGAATTGAACACACTTACTATTTGTGATTAGATAACAGAAAATTTACGCTCATCCTGTATCCTTTTTTTCTCATAGTTTAACCATAAAAAAAAAAATTTAAAATAAAAAATTACCCTATATCACTGAGCTCAGTGGTTAAGTCACTGATTTCCATGCCGGATAATCGAATTGCGGCCATGGTGTTGGGAAGTTCCTCCCTCGTGGCATCCATCAGCTTCTCCATCGATTCTGCTGCTCTCTTGAAAGCCTTCACAGAACGCACATTCTCGCAATAAGAAAATAACACTTGACAAAGTCAAACACCGATTAGAAGTGTTTCGTTAATTGCACAAACCAGAAGCGCCGGAATCGCAGAGCAAAACAGCCACGTTGCACATATCGCCGTCTGCACGACACAACACGCGCGGGATTCGTTAATTGGACAAATAATAAGAGACGAATTATCGGTTTCGTGAGAGCGTTGACGGTACCGCACAGGCGAAGACGTTGAGAGCGGTGACGTGGCGACTGGTGAGGTTCCAGTGTTGAAGCGACGGCGATCCAACGGTGGAGGTGTGCTGCGAGGGTTGTACGGACAGGGAGCACAGGGGTTGGGGAAGGGAACGGCGTTTGGTGAAGGGGAGGGTACGGAGTGAGACAATGTTGGTGGCAAAAGCGTGCTTCGTGTGCGGAACAACGAAGCCTGGGTTCGAAGCTTGGAATCGAAGGGAACTTTGCATTTCTTTGTGGAAGACGCAGAGGGCGATACAAACACAGAACAGAACACAAGCAAAATCCACCAGAACCAGAGCGGTTGGTTCTCTCAGAAAATACCGAGTTGGGCCTGGGATACTTCGTTTCCTGAAAAATAAGCGGACTTCGGTTTGGGCCCCAGAAGAGGATGCATCGTGTCTGGGAGAAGCCCAGCATGGAAATGGAAATATACCCATAAAAAAATATAATTCATGCAGCATGATAATCAAAAACTAATTTACACTCAAGAATATAACTTTTGTTGGCCAACCATTATATTACAAACTATTTACAACTTTAGGAATCTTTTGAAACTAATTATTAGAGTAGAATAATCAACATTGCGTTTTTCAGTGTTTATGTGAAAAAACATTTTAGTTGTTATTATTTTTTTAATATAAACATTTTTCAATGATGATTGGACATGTTTGAGATGTTTTTCATTTTGTTTTGTTTTGTTATTGACACTTAACCTTGATAGAACATGTTTTGTTTTTTTTAATTATTAGAGTAGGAAGATGGCTGACATGATTGATGCAAACATTCAAAATTTAACTCTTATGCAAGTCTCACTTTTTATTTAATAAACTTCATACATGATTTTGTACTTTTAAGTAAAAATTATGTGAAAAACATATTTCTCAAATAATTAAAAAAATAACATGAAATTAAGGGGGTGTATTGGATTAGGATTTTAAAGGATTTTTTTAGTTAAAAAAAATCCTGCGAATTTTAAAAGACTTTACAGGATTTTCATGACTTTTACGATTTTACAAGATTCTACAAGACTTAAAATCAGGATATTAATGGATTCTACAAGACTTTTAAATCAGGATTTTAATGGATTCTGTGGGATTTTGTAGAATTTTCGTGAATTTTTGACATTTGATAAGATTTCAAAAAAAAAATTCATACATTCAAATTTAAAAAAAGTCAAAGACAAAAATAATAAAAAATAATAATGTCTAGATAAATAATAATAATAATAATAATAATAATAATAATTCTCCATAATATTTTATCCTCTTAAATAGCATTCACCCACATATTCATAGCTATACT